CAGCGTTTCGCAACAGGAAACTCGCTATCATTCGAGACGGCCTCAAATTGCTCTCAGTCAACTAGCTTGTTTCTGTTGAATTGACCCACTGGCAGCCTCGATGATCGTATCGACAGCATCATTCCCGAATCGGAATAACCATGATTGTTATTCATGTAGTCAAAACCAATCACCCGGTCGATTAAACTGAGTCATTACGAGCTGTTCACTGTATCAAAGAGGTTGAGATTAGAAGGAATTCAGATGCTACCTAGATATATACCAAATCGAAGGCGATCGCGAATCTACTCAAAGAAAACCTGTGCACTCAGAAACAATTTTTGGAAGCTCTCGCATTGCCGCCTTTGTTCAGAGGTAACTCAATGATGTAACAAACCGCATAGATGAACATTGGTCTAATGGCTGTGATTCACTAAATGTCCGACCTCAGCCACACTTTCATGATGTGTTCAATAGTGCTCTAGTCACTCTTAGTTCGAGAGAGAATTGTGGTGTAAACGATCTTCGCGCTGATTCACGTGCTAATGCAGTCATCGAGCTCATAGAATACTGTGGAATGGATTATCGTTCTACTCAAAAGTAAGAATATTGCCATTACCGACAACTCCTGATCAGAATGCCCTCATCGAATCCCTCAGTTCAAGAGTGTGTATCAGGTTTGCAAGAGAAAACTTGAAAACATAGAACATTGGGGAAAATGCCTTGAACAAGCTATGTGACAACCCTGAACGCGTACCGAATACTCCCTGTTAATCAATTAGAGTTTTTCATCCCATGCAGGATCATTTCAAAGACCCAGCAATTGGCACAAAGGACTGAGCAGAACTGTAATCTATCACGTGCGTCTCCGGATTGTGAATGAGATGCTGTGGATGAACGAGGTTAATTGAAATACGACTAACTTGTGGTGATAAAAGAAAATAGTAACAAACAAGCAGTAGTGGCAACATCGAGGTGTGAATAGTTTAAAATTACATTGATCATAACTGCATGGTATACTTGCTTCGTTAATTTTTCTTTCGTAAAACGTTATACTACTCACAAGTAACATAATGTTTCATGGTCGAAACAGCCGTCTAGTGCGTCCCAGCTTTTCAGTTCACGCTTCATTTGCTATATACACAACTAATTCCCTTTTGTAACATAATGTTATTCACACAAACTTCGAGATCATGGTAGAGATCCTGCGCACAAGACAGAAGTACCAACCGGTTGTTTATACTAGGCCCTGTTGATTGAATTCAGAAAACACGCAGTGTAAAACAACGGTGTATATACTTATGAGGCTGTACAAAAGGTAAATCACATTTGAGCCGACTGAAATGATCGCTTATTGGAGCGTTTGGCATGTTTCTGTAAAAATTTGGACCGCTTTTTGCTGCAACGCCGGTTGCGGCTGGCGTCCCAGGTGGGGAGTTTCGGTTTTATTTTTCTAGATGGTACTTTTGTTGTTGCTGCTTCCGCAGTCCTGTTCTTGTTTTCCGTATCCAAACCAGACTGTGGGCAGAAAAAACAATAAAGCATAGTGTAGATATTGAATCAAATGAAAATACAATGGAAGAATAAATTTTAACTAGAGCATTTCAGATGTTACAGCGTACATTGTTGGTAAAAAGTAAAAACCTCACACTGCCAAAACGAAGCAACCAGAGAAAATTACTTGGAATTGCACTTGTGATTCCCAATTCGCTACAATATGGAGTCAGAGGGGTTCACAATCGCGAACACTCACATTCAACACATCGTCAGTAAGTTTCAACGAACTCTTTCATATCCGTAAACTTCGTCAGTTTCGTATTCATCAAGCAACTGTTTCGAAATTCGTGCATCAGTGTGTTTTCCTCGTTATTTTTTTCCAATCGCCTCAAGAAACATTTTAAACTGCTTCGAAGTTGACTGACCATCATCAGCCGTGTCCCTTCAAACCCACAGGAGGAGCTGGTAACTAAACTGCGCGAGCAACATTTGAATGCATGTAAAGAGTTCGCACATACGATTCTTATCACCTCCACACATGCGCGACACGCAGATTTAACTTCTTGTTGTTCCCATCCTTCAACTAGATCGCAATATCGTTGTGTTCCCTCTGGAATAAAAAGTTATCGAAGCTCTACAGTACTCTCATTAGCATGTATTCCAGTCAACAAGCAACAGGTTTTCACAGACTGTTACCAGTTTTATGATTTAAATCTCTTTTTTCGTTGTTTTTTTAAATCTTTTTCTCCCTCGCTCCGACCTGTATATTTTCAACTGAAATGTAGACCTTATGCCTGCAGAAGTTATTACATTACAATACAATACAATTTCGGTTCAGAGTGAATACAGAAAAGGGAATAAGTTATGTGTGAAGCTATCGGTATGCGGAATCTAGGCAGCCCGCCGTTTGGATTTAGGTGAACCAAGATCTACGCCTCTCAAATGAATCAAAAGATACGAATAACCGGGTACATCTCACCACCTTTCTGGTAGTGACCGGTCTCCTGTGATAAGCGGAGGGTTAAAAAGAAAGATATCTGGATGTATATGGATATGTATATGGGTAAGTTAGAGAACATCAACCTCTGACCGATCACAGGATTTGAAAATGTACTGCAGATACATTGCTGATATACTCATCGTTACTAATGGGAATGGAAACGGAGACTTGGAAGGAATACTGACAGCATTTAACAATGCTCATCGATGCTATCGAAAAAGAAACGAACCACTGCATCCCGTTTCTAGATATTTTTATCCGTAGAAACTTAGATGGATCTATTTACCGGAACGTTCACAGCAAACCAATTCGGACAGAAAAATAGATTAATTTCAATAATTTCGCACCAATTAAACACAAAAGAAGCTTGGTTCATTGCCTAGCGAGACAAGCACAGAGAATATGCACTCTGGACACCCTAATCGACGAAATGAAGTAAATAAGAAACATATTACGAGAGAATGGCTGCCCGGATCGCTTCCTTGACAAACACTTAACAGAAACAACGGAGAAACCAAAAGTGAGTACAGTAAGCAGAAAACCACTATACCTACAATTACCGTACAAGGGCGACAAAGCGGCGGACTGAGTCACACGAACAGTAAACCAAACGCTAGGGAGAACATTCATTACGGCAGCACTACGCATCAGTTTCTCCACACCACCTGTAATTCGTTTCCACCGCAAAGATAGATTGTCCCCTCAGGCCATATCCATAGGCGTCTATTGGTTTACTTGCTCCTGTGGAGCTACATACGTCAGACAAGACAAATGTCAAACAGAATAAAGGAGGACCTCAATGCACAAGGAGAAACGAGGACAGAGGAAAGCGCCATATGCCAACACCTAAACGAGGCGAATCGCCAAGTGGGCGTAAGTCGAGCATTCGGAACCCTTTATCATCTAAATCCGTACGCCTCATCTTTCTGTGCACGGCTGAAGCTAACTGCAATCTAACTGCTCGAGCCCCCCCCCTCCCATTATGCAATCAGAAGCGTTTCGTTCAGACATTATTTTCACCAAAGTCAATCGTAAAGGGACCAACCGATACGAGCATGGTAACTGGAAGAACTTCGTAACCAAGCTGAAGCTCGATCAAACTGTTGACGCACGCAACATAGGGTAATACTAGCCACTGCGCACAGGATCAAACAACATTAAATGCTCTACCTAAATATATGTAAATGGTTAGTTGATGAATCTATCGAAAAACAGCTTGTTTCGCCTATCAGATTTTATATTTAGTATCTGGATGTCTGTGGATGAATCCGTTTGTAACATCATTCCCCAAAAGAGGGTTATAGCTTTATCGGTTCAGAATGTAGACTAAGACAAGTGTTGGACAACTATGGTCTGAATGCATGACGGAGGGAAAAGCATTTTTTTCTATGGTAGACTGAAATTGGAAGTCGAGTCTCGAGTGAGCGATTCATCGAATTCATTGATGTGAAACGCATGATCGTGACATTCTGTAGAGCAAAGAAGCATAGTTTCAGTAACGCCTCATAGATGGAAGGGGAAAACATTGTTGATCGAAGGGGAAGACGCAACCAAAAAGAATGAGTATATCAGCAGTGCCAAGTGATCAGCGGGGGGTCAGTGATGATGCGAAGAGCTATTGCGTATGCAGAGTGAGCTGGCTCTAATTGACAGAACTACAATTAGTTTGATATACCTAATATCGTTGACTGTGTGCTGTTCCTGTTGCTAGAGCAGGGGACAAGCTTTATTTTCTCGGACGAAGATGTCCATCACATGGGTGTCAAGACGTCCACTTAAGCCAGTAGTATGATGGTGTTTGCTGGATACCGTAACCTGTTGGAACACGGGAACTTAATCCCATTAAATATTACTGGGACCGATCCAAAGTCCTGTTCTATTGAGGAGGGCCCTTATGTCTCAGGAGTGAGGATGCTGGTCGTCATCATCAGAGAAAAATAGGTATTTATGAGTATTCGGGTTGGGTCCTTCAGCTATTTATCATATGATGGTGCTTAATAAAACGGAGAAACAAAAAAACTCCCGGATCATAAAACATGAGAGCTTGCAAGCTGTTGGAGATTATTCTCCACCGCAATAATACGCGAAACGGTATCCATAGCACTGCTTGATGCTGTTTCACTAATCGGTCAACGAGATCACAGAATCAAATGAGCCAACTGGAAGTTATAGTACTTTCGCGTTTCAGATTGCGGCTCTAACTTTGGAACAGCAAATTTCGAACAAGCCTATCATTCACTCCTTCCATAACACCACGTCGGATGAACGAGACACGACAGGTGTGATGGCCTAATTAGCTAGAGGACTACGACCGAAAGACCTATGTGGAGCGCGCACTTCCGCTGAACATCCACAGTTTCCTACGCAATGAGCCAACGTTCTATTTATTCATGATTGGCCAGCATGTTGATGGCCGATATTTGGATCATGAAGTGTATCGCGAACAGCTGATTTGGATGATTTTGCACACCGATTAAAACGTAAGTAATATGTAGTCCCTGCAAACTGAAGAGTGAAGGAACAATCAGCGTACTTCGTATTCTGTCAGAATATCCAATTGTTGGTGTTGTTCCTGTCCAGACTCCGCTCCCGGTTTATCCGCTGAATGGGAGGATTTCACATCACTGAGCAGCCCCAAAACCATCGACTCACGGCCTTTCTTCCGCGATTCCCAAACCCGTTTGACCGAGGTGTACAAACGCATTGCCGCCCGAGCATCTTCGATCGAGTCGTGTTCGCCCGTCTGAACACTGACTCCCAGTACTCGTTCGGTCAGAGCACGAAGTGATGGGGTGCGACCACCGAACAGTGCACGGAATGGCCGATATCGTGAGGTATCCCGAATGTGGCGTCTTGGATGGGACAGCATGAGTACCTGGTTAGAGTTAATTACATGAACAGTGACTCAATTACGCAGGGTTGGTGAGGGACAAACATTTCGAGGGAGAAAAATAAACAAAGACCAATTTTAATCACATTGAAACTGAGTGGATGTGTTATGTCGATACACGCACACATCCAATGGACATGAACGCTCAGTCAAGATGAAGTCCAACAAAATCAATGTGAGCTATGGCACCCTACGAAATTCAGGGCAATCGGAATATATTAGAGGATGTTGCGTCGCCTCAGGTCAAGTGAGTAGATAGCTGTAAGCACCAGGAGGGATGTACCAGGTGGTGAAGAGTATTTGTTTTTTTCCAACGAGCCATATATTTTCTTCTACATGGCAAGGGCATCCTAAAGTGAACAAAGTGATTTCGGCAATGAAAACATGAAACTTCATAATAATATATATAAAAAATAATAACTTCATAATACACACAGGGAGAAAATAGACCATATTTTAAAAAAACTCGTCAAACGGCTAGCACATTTGCTATCAGACTACTTTACACCGAATTTAGTAGTATATAAGGTAACCCAGAAGGATATTTTACTTGTTCAAAAGAACGTGTATGTCACATGACAAAAAATATTGAGTGTGACGAGGACAGTACAAATCTCTAAAGATACGGTGTCAAAACAACCATGGATTAAAGGAGAAATATAGAAACAGGACGACGAGGAAAACAAAAACAGTGAATTGTGGGATGACAACATTTTTTTGGTTGTTTGCAGCATATGATTACGACTTTCTTTTGTTTTGTTTCTCATTCTTCCCACTGAATTGGGTTCGATGCCACAGCACGCAGTGTCCAATCTAAGATAATCTGAATCCGCTTATTGAATTTCCTTGAGCCTCGGAGTCTCGCTGCGTATAGTCAACTGTCTACCAGAATCGAATCCAATAGAGCGACCCCGGCCCTGACACGTAAGACAACACAAACGCCTGTTTGGTCAAACGCTGAAGCGATAGGGGCCCCGGAAACACGCAGTTGAAACGATTCTTTTGGACTGAAAGGAGACGATAATCAGATTACTGAGCTCAGATCCTGAATGCTTGTTTTTGAGAACCAACACTAATCAATCTCTAGACTTTCGAGCGTCAGAGCCAAACCTGCTTGTCGTCCTATACGTATCGGAGTACTCACGTTGAACGAAGCCAGTTTGAATGTAGAGTGAAGTCGGAGGAATACAACAGCAGGCCTCGAATGGCACGACACTGCTGAGACAGATTTTAAGGAGGATAGCGGTGAGCTACATGAACCTACTTCAGTGGAACCATTCAAGATAGAACGTACGGCGAAAAAAGCTGGAGTGTTGTGTCGGGATGAATGTAAATTCTGCGTGTAGATTTTGAGAGAAAACAGCTTTGTATAGATGCTAACGTTTGAGGCATATGTGAATTTGTGGGTCCATGGTTAGAGGAAGTCGAAGATTCCAGAGAATTTGTAGAATGTGTCGGAATGCACGAGCAGTTCCGTGAGTCCCCAATGTGCCACGTCATATTGGTTACCTCTGCCCCAGAATGTTATACTATCGATTGTCATACGTATTTTTTAGAATTCTCAAGATCAAGTTATGCACATCAAACGAGCACACTTTTCCTCGAAATGCAACGCACATGTGCGCACTGAATACACCTTCCACGCTCAGCTTGTTCGCTTCGAATTTCGCGAGATCGGCCGTTGAAGTGTTCGAATGGACGTTTGACGTGTGGTTTATCCAGACATAACACAAAAACTTCCAAAAAAAAACCGAAATGCTATCATCAATACTCGGGCCTTGTAGCAGAACTGCTTGCTACCAGTCAGTCTCTAATTTGATGTATCGGTTCATTGAAGAGGCGGTCGAGGATGACCAGCGACAATGCCCGAGAACGTGGTCAGTAATCAGGTTTCTTACACTGGAGTAAAAGAGGATTTTTATTCCATTTTATAGTCGTGCACAGAGCAAATGAATTGTAAACAGAAGACCTAGGAAGCATTGATCAGCTGTTTGGGCTTGATTGTGCCAGAGCATCATCTATGGTTCTAAAGTAAGTTGGACTTCTCAGACGTGTTTGCGGGCAGTTCGAAAGAGCACTGTTCCCACGCTTGTTATCAGCATTCGTTCGGCCACACACGGGGTACGCCGTTCAAGTATGGAATCTATGGTTGAACCGCGACAGGAAGGCTCTAGAACGTCCGCTAAGGCTGGCAACCAAATTGGTAAAAGGTCTATATAACAAGACATACTCCGAAAGACTGTAAATATTGGGACTCTACTCATCCCAATACTGCCGACTTCGAGGGGACCTAATATTGGCGTATCACATACTGCATCAACCCAATCACCCTTGCCGTTCTCTGCTGACTTAATGACTCATAATGGACACCTCAGGGGACATCCAATAAAAGTGAAGACCCAGAACGGCCACCTTGATTGCCGGTATCACTCGTTTGCAATCAGTGTGCCGCGTATGGAATTCTCTCTTATCTGATGTAGTAAGAGCTCCTACAGTTGAACTATTTAAATCGCAACTTGATAAAGCACTGGAACACTTAAAATTTCAACATCCGTGAGTGATCACGCACATTATTATCATTGTAATTTTCTCTTTGTGAAGTTATTCAAAATATTCTGTAAACATCCTATAGGGCATGATAAGCTTTAGCTTCGTTAAATCGCCCATTATAAAACTTTGACTTTGATTGGGTCTCAGCAATAGAACGAATCCACCGAAGAGGGATTGTGCTATATCGTGTATAAATAAAATGAAAGACGGTTTGATTAGCTACCGATGGTCGATGGGATAGTACGTTTCTGTTCTACCTTTGGGGTCCCTAGTAGGGCCGACAGATTCATACCCGACCAGATCGAAGCAGCTATCTANTCATTTCACACTTCATTTGCTCCGTACACGACGAATAGTCAGGTTTCTCTTAGCAACAGCTATCCGCATAGAGTACATAATGTGGCGAACGACCCCTGGCCATTGTTCCGTTCCTTTTTCTCGACAAGACAATTCAGAATTAACAACTGAAACAAACTGCTGGTTATCGGTCTATTTGGAACGACCATCTGCNGCCATATTTGAATGCACTAAGACTAGAGATGTAATCCGGAATAAAGAGACCGAACAGTGCTGCAGTCACTGCTTGTATTTCTATTCCCGAGAATGTGGCCCATGGAACAGACTTAAAGTTCAGTGGGAGTAACAATGATGACTGAATGTAGCTCAATGGTTTCTGGTGTTTTGGATTCAGTCGTCGTGATTAAAACGAGCTAATTTCGTCAGGTCCACAGAGCTGCAACGGATGCTGCATCCGCTAGTGGTTGAGATTGTGATGAAGTAGTGATCGTATTCACAAACTACGTTTTGGAGCGTCCGAAAGTAGATTATGCGAATCCCCACTACTTACGTTGTGGTGAGCGGGACGCGATTTTTAGTAGGCTTAACTAAGTAGGTTAACTGCGTTACTCACAATCACCGCGTGATTCTGAGACGTCGTCAGGCTGAAGACCATTTGGATATGCCGACTGAACAAGCTAATCGTGTCGTGTTCTGAAACACACGAAATACCTAGTACTGTTCATTCAAACGTGATCTCCAATTTGAAGGCAGAGTTTGAAGACCAGATCATTCTCCTTAACAGATTGGCAAGACACGGTTTAGAATTTATGTCGGTGAAAGTTCGGTGCTTAGTGCTAAGATATGTACTAGTGATATTGTAGGTGGGGAACGAACATTCCTCTGTGGTGTACCTATAGCTGTCTTGAACGCTCTTTGAATACCGCGTCTGAGGATTCCACTAGACAACGGAGAAACGAAACAAAAAAAACTGGTCAAAGGTGGTACGATGAACAGATAAACAGACCAACAGAATATTGACAAGCAACTGTGACGAATGTTTGACTTGGACAAATGTAAGTACCGTGTTTATATCTGGACCGTTCTTTTGATTCAATTCAAAAACAAAATCCCCATTTCTGCTGTCAACAACCACGTTTAGTTTTACCCATAATCCTGTGGAACAAGTGGATCAGTTGCACGGACAGATGCATCAACCAGTTCGGTCACACAATCCGGGTTAGAGATGAAGATTTGTGGACCGATTTGATTTGTTGTGCAACACAGTCAAATAGTAAGTATGGAAGATGCGCTTGGTCCGCTCTACTACGTTCGAATCCACCAATCTGAGCTGATTATTACTCGCAATTTGGCTACAGACGGATAGGCTGACATCAGGTAACATCAGCCGGCTATATTTACATAAAAATACGGTTTCTCTCTGTAGAGCGTAATCCCGAAGAGCGGACACCTTAGCCGTGTGAACACAATGTACGCTCCCGACTGATTTCATTGGCGAAACAAACATTCCGTTCGAGTGTACGCAGCCATCACGTTGAAAACCTGCACAGAGGCTGATTCTGTGCCAAAGATACCCTTCTGTTGTGTCAGGCACCAACTGTTGCACTTGAGTAAGCCTAGTTAAACACTGTAGTTCATCCATATATTTCACAGTATATTCTTACAATTACTTGATAAACAGTATGGAGAGATGATGAAAAATTGTACGCTTGCCATTTATTGTTGCACGCGGTCAGCTGTTTGCGAAAGTAACTGATACCTGCAGTGTAGGCGATTGAAAACGCACTTTTAGCGTCAAACGACATTAGTGGCAGCACTGTTAGGTTCCTGCAATCAATGCAACTTTC